CGTGGATCGAGGCCAGGCGCCCGCGGAAGCGCTGGGCACAGATGCGCTGCAGGGACACGGCTGTCAGGGTGGGCACCGATGACCCCAGGCTAAGCCCCCTCCCAACTCACCCCACCCCATCGCACCTGGGCATGGCAGAAGTTCTGGCAGTGGGAGATGACGACGTAGCGGCAGGTGGCGGTGCCTGGCATGCTGGGGACACCGGGTGTCTGCTTGTCACTGCCCCCCCGGCACCCGCTGAACTCCTCGGGCATCTCCAGCTCTGTCACGTCCTCCTCATCCTCCACCGCAGGGCTGGCAAGAGCTGGGGACACTGGCTGGGTCACCCTGGGATCAGGGGTGTCCCCAGGATGTCCCCGGGAGCAGGTGGGGGTGTGGGGGACACTCACCGGAGTGGCTGGCGGGAACTGTGCCCAGCAGGGCCAGAGCAATCAGCAGGCAGGGCCGCATGGCACAGGGATACTGGGGACACCACCAGCACCCTTGGGAGATCCCAGAGTGCCATCACTCTTCAGCCACCCTGGGGACATCCCCATGACACCCCCGGCATCACCATGTCCTCCCCACATCCCCTCAGAAACCCCCCATATCCCCACTAACCCTCTGCCATCCCCAGTGCCACCCCCAGCATCACCGTGTCCTCCCCATGTTTTCTCAGAAACACCCCATATCCCACTGTCCCTCTGCCATCCCCAGTGTCACCCCATGCCCCGTCCCATCTGCCACCCCCAGTGCCACCCCCAGAGACCCCAGCCCTCCTGTGCCCACCATCTGCCCAGTTCCTCACTTCCCACCCTTGGGTCACTCCCTTCCCTGGCCATCCTGTGCCATTCTGTCCCCTACCATGCCCCCTCCACCCCTGGGCCCCCCAGTGACAGACTGAGGAACCCCCAACCCTGGCTGCTGAGGGCTGAGCCCACCCCCGTGTTCCTCTCTCCGCTCCTCACCTGGGTCTTGGGGGGCTGTGCCCACTGCCACCCTTATATTGGTGACAGGGACACGTGCCCCCAACCACAGCCTTGTGACATCCCCAACCACCAACTGTTGGGGACATGGTGGGGGACACCCCAGGAGAGCTCTGCCAGCGCCCTGCCCAGCCAGTGCCACAGCCTGGGGTGGGCTTGGTCCAGGGGAGGGGCTGTGGGGTTTGGGGTGCAGGGT